CACATGGGTAAGTAACACACTTACTCTTACGACTGACCACACGGGTAAGTAACGTTAATCTGTTAGTACCAACCACATGTATAAATAACACACTTACTTTTAGTATCAACCACACAGGTAAGTAACGCACCTACTCTTAGTACGAACCGCACGGGTAAGTAGCTTACTCTTAATACTGACCATACGGGTAAGTAAAGCACTTACACTTAGTACCAACCACATATATAAATAACACACTTACTTTTAGTATCAACCACACAGGTAAGTAACGTTCTTACTCTTAGTACCAACCGCACGGGTAAGTAGCTTACTCTTTATACCGACCACACGGGTAAGTAACGCACTTACTCTTAGTACCAATCACATGGGTAAAAAATGCGTACTCTTAATTCCGGCCATACGGGTAGGTACGCACTTACTGGCTTGTGTCAAGCTTCAGGTCATCCGAGAATGACTAGAAGTTGGACCCACTTTGTGTCAACGGGAGTTGTGTGTTTGCCCCGTCCTCGCTTGTGCGGAGCCGACTTTGTTGGGTGTGCGGGGAGCACAGCCGACCTGTTATAGTGGGGGACGCCGTCCCGGGCGCCTGGACGGTGTTCTGGGCGCCTGGACGCCGACCTGGGCGTCTGGACGGCATCCTGTGCGCGTGGACGCCGATCTGGTTGCCTGGTCGACCCAGTTACCCAGGCGACGGGCACTGCAGGGTGTGCGAGACTCGCGCGGGAGGTTCGTGCGAAGTCGAACTCGGTGTGGTATCCCGAGGTCGACGTAGAGGATCAGGAGAAGTGGTGGGCACATGGTCAGCTTGGCGTCTGCGCTGTGAATGTGACGAGGCACAGCACGCCAACCAGCTGCGAGCACCTGCGTAGCAGGTGCGCTGCTATCCTGCGGGTGCAACGCTGTGCAGCCGCCCTGTTGCAGCGTTGGCAGACCGCAACGTTGCACTGCTGGAGCACGGTCGATCATGCAGTGTTGGAACGCGGTCGACCGTGCTGCGGTCGCAGTCGGCCCGCATGCTTGCGAGCATCTGATGAGTCCATTGTTGCTTTGCATTGTGTACCATTGTTGTCAACCTTTGCCCGTGAAACTCTTGCCAATTTCCCCCGTAGAATAGCAAGCAGTGAGAGCACAATGAAACGACTAAGGAACGAACGCAGAGATCACTTCCACCCCGTGCCTAGCCTGTAGTTTAGCTCCTGTTGATTGAGTTATCTCCGCACTTACAGTCATCCGAGACCAACTTCGGGCCTTCCGGTCGAACGTTAACCCTAGTTTTGGAAGACAAGAAGTTTAACCCAAAGCTTCGGATCTTCCCAGGAAGGCCCGAAGCTTGACACGAGCCAGGAACGTATTCTTTCTCTTAGTACCAACCACGTGGGTAAGTAACACACTTACTCCTAGTACAAACAACACAGGTACGTAACGCATATACTCTTAGCACCAACCACACGGGCAACTAACGAACTAACTCTTAGCACCAACCATACGGATAAGTAACACACTTACTCTAAGTACCGACCAAACCGGTAAGTAACGCACTGACTGTTAGTGCCAACCAAAGAAGTAAAGCAACAAACTTACTCATAGTACCAACCACACGGGTAAGTAACACACTTTTTCTTAGTACCGTCCACGCGGATAAGTAACGCACTCACTTACTCTTAGTACCAACCACACGGGTAAGTAACGCTTACTCTTGGTACCAACCACAGGGGTAAGTAACGCACTTACTACTTGTACCAACCACACGGATAAGTAACGCCTACTCTTAGTACCGACCATACGGGTAGGTACGCACTCACTAGCTTGTGTCAAGCTTCTGGTCAGCTGCGGATGACTGGAAGTTGGACCCACCTCAGCTCATCAGAGACCAACTTTGGGTCTTCTGGCCAAGTTGTCCTGAGAAGGCCCGAAGCTTGATACGAACCAGGAGTGTACCCTTACTCTTAGTACCAAACACATTGGTAAATAACACACCTACTCTTAGTACCGACCACGCGGGTAAGTTATGCACTTACTCCTAGTACAAACCACACAAGTAGGTAACGCACATACTCTTAGTACCGACCATACGAAAGTAACGCACTAACTCTTAGCAACCACACGGGCAAATAACAAACTTACTTTTAGCACCAACCATACGGATAACTACCAACCACACAGGTACGTAATAAACTTACTAGTACCAACCACACAGGAAAAGTAACGAACTTACTCTTAGTACCAACCATACGGATAAGTAACGCATTTATTCTTAGTACCGACCACACGGGTAAGTAACGCACTTAATCATAGTACCCACCATAAGGGTAAGGAACGTAGAACCAATTATGACGCACTTGCTATAAGAACCAATTATACAGGTACGTAATGCACTTACTCTTAGTACGAACCACAAAGGTGAATAATGCAATTACTCTTAGTACCGACCACCCTGATAAATAAGGTACTGACTCTTAGTATTGGTCACTCTTAGTACCAATCACACGGATAAGTAACGTTCTTACTCTTAGTACCGACCACGCGGGTAAGTAACACACTCACTACAAATACCAACCAGACGGATAAGGAACGCACACACTCTTTGTACCAACCCCACGGGTAAGTAACACACCTACTCTTACGACCGACCGCGCGGGTAAGTAACGCACTTACTCTTAGTACCAACCACACGGTTAAGTAACAAAATTACTTTTAGTACCAACGACAAGGGTAAGTAATGCACTTACTCTTAGAACTGACCAAACGGATAAGAATATTAAAAAAACCACACAGGCAAGTAACGCACATACTCCTAGTACCAACCACACGGGTAAGTAACGCCTACTCTTAGAACCGCGCTTTTATAAGTACGCACTTCTTGGCTTGTTTCAATCTTCTGGTCATCCGCGGATGACTGGAAGTTGGATCCACTTTGGGTCATCCGAGACAAACTTCGGGCCTTCCGGACATAAAGCTTCACAGGAAGAAGCTTCAGGTTCCGGGAAGGCCCGTAGTTTGACACGAGCCAGGAACGTACCCTTACTCTTAGTACCAAACTCACGGGTAATTTAACACAGTTACTCGTAGTACCGACCGGATAAGTATCGCACTTACTCTTAGTACAAACCACACAAATAAGTAATGCACATACTCTTAGCACCAACCATGCGGGCAAGTAACGAACACTCTTTGCACCAACCATACCTCCAAGTACCAACCACACCGGTAAGTAACACATTTACTGTTAATACCAACCACATGGGTAAAGTAAAAAAATTACTCTTTAGTACCAACCATACGGGCAAGTAGCGCACTTATTCTTAGTACCGACCACTCGGATACGTAAAGCACTTACTCTTAGTACCAACCATACGAGTAAGTAACGCACTTACTCTTAGTACCAACCACACGGGTATGTAACGCACTTACTCTTAGTTTCAACCACACTGGTAAATAACGCACTGACTCTTAGTAACGACCGTACGGGTAAGTAGCGCCCTCACTGTTAGTACTAACTAAACGGGTAAGTACGGCACGTACTCTTGGTACCAACCGCATGAGTAAAGAACACACTCAATTTTACTAGCGTCCACGCGGTTAAGTAACGCACTTCTTTTTAGTACCAACCACACGGGTATGTAACGCACTTACTCTTAGTACCGACCACATGGGTAAGTAACACATTTACTCTTAGTATCATTACACGGTTGAGTAACGCACTTACTCTTAGTATCAACCACTCGGTTGAGTAACGCATTTACTCTACGTACCAACCATTTGGGTAAGTAAGACACTTACAATTAGTACCAACCACACACGTAAGTAACGCACTTTCTCTTAGTACCAACCACACCGGTAAGAAATACATTTACTGTTAATACAAACCATATGGGTAAACTAAATAATTTACTCTTTACTACCAACCATACGGGCAAGTAGCGCACTTATTCTTAGTACCGACCAGTCGGATACGTAAAGCACTTACTCTTAGTACCAACCATATGGGTAAGTAACGCACTTACTCTTAGTACCAACCACACATGTATGTAACGCACTTATTCTTAATCTCAACCTCACTGGTAAATAACGCACTGACTCTTAGTAACGACCGTACGGGTAAGTAGCGCCCTCACTCTTAGAATTAACTAAACGGGTAAGTATGGCACGTACTCTTGGTACCAACCGCATGAGTAAAAAACACACTCAATTTTAGTACCGAACACGCGGTGAAGTAACGCACTTCTTTTTAGTACCAACCACATGGGTATGTAACGCACTTACTCTTAGTACCGACCACACGGGTAAGTAACGCATTTACTCTTAGTATCATTACACGGTTGAGTAACGCACTTACTCTTAGTATCAACCACTCGGTTGAGTAACGCATTTACTCTACGTACCAACCATTTGGGTGAGTAACACACTTACAATTAGTACCAACCACACATGCAAAAAACATACTTACTCTTAGTACCGACCTCGCGAGTATGTAACGCACCAACTATACGGTTGGGTAGCGCACTTATTTTTAGTACCAACCATACGGGTAAGTAACGCACGGGTAAGTGACGCACTTACTCTTAGTACCAACCACACTGGTAAAAAACACTTACTCTTAGTACCGACCACACGGTTAACTAATGTTGGGTGCATATTTACATTGCACGACATCCTGCAGTCTATTTTGTGAGAATGAACGAGGAATGAAAAGACTAAGGGAAAGTTGGGTACAAGTACAAACCCTAGAAAGCTGTACCCCATATGTGCTACCCCACTATAGCCTACAGCAGCTAAGTCATATAAATCTGACACACCCCCATAGGCAAAGTGGGGGAGGACAAGGGGTCACAAGACCAGTCAAGCAAAGCAAAGCAAGCTCAGGGTGGATCACAACGTCACCACACATTCCGAGCACAAGTTCAAGGCCACAAGGCCAGTTCACATGCAGGATTACATATATATATAAGGCTCAACAAGCAAGAGCAGGTGTATATATATATGTAACAGTACAAACAAGGTCAAGGGGTGAGCAAGTGAGGCAAGGTAGGCACAAGACCCAGCTGAGTACAGAAGCGCTGATGATCACAAGGCGCAAGTGCCTTGGTGAAGATATCAGCAGTGTTGGCCTGAGAGGCCACGTACGCAAGGCGTAGCTGACCACGCTGCTGTAGCTCACGAGCAAGGAAGTAGCGAAGAGCAATGTGCTTCGTTCTGTGCTCCAGTCTCTGCTCCCGACACAAGGCCAGCATGGCCTTGTTGTCTACGTACAGCACTGGAGGAGAACGAGGCGGCTCTCCGAGGTCAGTCAGCAGGTAGGTGAGCCAGCGAAGCTCCTGTGCAGCCATGGCCCCTGCGTAGATCTCAGCCTCACAACTGGAGCCGAGAACAGAAGACGAGCGGGTAGCCCGCCACGAGACAGACCCGGAACCAAGGCTGAAGGTGTAACCCTGTGACGACCGCTGCGTAGCCTGGTCGTCAGCCCAAGAAGCGTCTGCGTGCCCAGTGAGGACCACTGGACTCTGCCCTCCAAGCACAAGCCCCATGCCCGACGTACTGCACAAGTAGCGCAACACCCTCTTCGCTGCAGCCATGTGCTCCGGTCTGTGTCTCCCAGGAGCAACATAGCGTGCGAGAATGCTAAGAGGGTATGCAAGGTCAGGTCGAGTGCAGGTCATCAGGTACATGAGGCAGCCAACAAGCTCTGGGTACGGGCCACTCGACTCTACGGACTCATCCGAAGGCAGAGCTGAGAGCGAGTGGCGAGTAGGCAGAGGAGTGGCCTGAGGCGAGGAGTACGTGAAGCCGAAGCGCTGAAGGACCTGCTGCACCATGTGTGACTGAGTCAGGGTAATGGTGCGGCGTGCTCTGTCCCGGGTGATCTGCAAGCCAAGGTAGCTGCGCAGTTCACCCAGGTCTGTGCACGTGTGTCTCTTCTGCAGCTCGGACTTCACGTGGGCGAGTCCAGCAGTGTCAGCTGTGGCAAAGACCAAGTTGTCGACGTACACGAGGATGTAGAACGGCGGCAAAGAAGTGTCGGTGCGCAGAAACAGCGACGGGTCGGCAGTAGAGGGAGCAAACCCAAGAGCCGCAAGCGTAGTCCTCAGTGTGTCGTGCCACTCACGCGGTGCCTGGCGGAGACCGTAGACTGGCCGCCGGAGGCTCCACTGGGTGCCAGGAGGAAAAGTCCCAGTGAAGCCAAGTGGGCGGCGCAGCCAGATCTCCTCGTGCAGGCTGCCCTGCAAGAAAGCAGTGCTGAAGTCAAGAGAGTGTAGCTCGTAGTCACGGTGAGCAGCTATGTGCAGCAGTACCCGAAGAGTGGTCATCTTCGGGGTGGGAGAGAAGGTCTGAAAGTAGTCAACTCCCTGCCGCTGACTGAAGCCACGAGCCACGTAACGCGCCTTGAAGACAGGCGGAGAACCCGGCGGCCGCTTCACCCTGAAAATCCACATGCCACTGACGATGTTCGCCCCAGGCGGGGGAACCTCGTCGACGTAGGTGCCTGTGGACTTCCAGGAAGCCATCTCTGCGTCCATGGCTGCCTGCCACTGAGAGGAGTAGGGACCCTCTATCGCCTCCGCGTAAGAGCGCGGGGTCGGGATGTCAAGTGCATCCGGGTCTCCCTCAGGGGTAAGCAGTACGGACACAAGATGAGGTGAAGCAGCAGCCAAACACTGGAACTCCTCCTGCCTGTCCTCAAGGACGTCCGTGCCAAGGGCACACTCACCCCCGACGGACGGAGGACAGACAGACTCAGACTCAACGACAAGACTAGCAGCGTAGTCTAGACGACAGCGAGCAGCAAAGTCGACGAGCTCAGCAACAAGGGCAGACGCAGCAGTGGACTCAAAGGAAGGGTCAGTGACGACAGTAGCAAGGAGACGCGTGACAGTAGGACTGGCAGCACGAAGAGAGTCCGACTCCGGGTCGGGAAGAGCAGGAAGAGAGGACTCAGGAGGAGAAGGCAAAGGGGCACGCAGAGGAGCAGTGGACGGACGCAGAGACATCCGGTGCGTGCCAGGGATAGGAGGAGGACGCTGACGCGAACCACGACCACTAGTGCGAGCAGAACGGACAGGCGACGCAGGGCGAGACGCAGGCTCACGACGCTCAGCAAGACCTCCAGTAGGACCAGTGTAGGGAGAAGGAGCGGGCAGTGGGGAGGCCGGCTGTAACTGTAACTGTGACGGGACAGGCTGTGGACACTCTAAGGGAGGAGGAGGACCAGTAGAAGGCGGGAGACCAAGAACCTGCTGAAGGAGCGGAACGAAGTACGGCCGAGGCCGCGCAGCGACTCCAGACACAGCAGAGACAGCACCAGTACCCCCAGTGGTAGCACCAGCGCCAGCAGCACCTCCAGCTCCAGTACCCCCAGCAGCTCCAGTAGCTCCAGGACCTCCAGCAGCACCAGTAGCACCCCCAGCAGGACCGCCTCCAGTACCGCCAGCAGTACCCTCAGCGCCAACACCCTCAGCAGCTCCAGCTCCAGTAGTACCCGCAGGCCCAGCAGCTCCAGTACTCCCAGTACGAGCACCTCCGGGACCCGTGGCTCCAGCACCCTCAGCAGTCGAAGAACCTCCAGCTCCAGCAGCACGCCTCCAGCGCCGAGCAAACCACTCACGCACCTCCTGTGGAAAGAGTGGCTCCCGTCGAGACGGAGCACCCAGAGAACCTCCAGGCCCAGCACCGCCAGACGCCACACGAGCAGGCCCAGCTCCCTCAGGCTCCGCACCCCCAGGCTCAGCACCTCCACGCATAGCACCCCCAGGCTCAGCACCCCCAGTCGTAGCACCCCCAGGCTCAGCACCCCCAGACTCAGCACCCCCAGGCTCAGCACCCCCAGTCGTAGCACCCTCAGGCTCAGCACCCCCAGGCTCAGCACCCCCAGCAGCACCAGAGTCACCAGCGACCTCCACAGGCTCGACTGCGTCTACCTGGGACACACCTGAAGGGGCAGGACCCTGAGGGGGAAGGGGGTCTACCGGGGGGGGACCTGGCACAAGGAAGAGCGGAGGCGGGGGGAGGGACGGAGTGCGGTAGGGGAAGAGACGGTAGTAGGGGACCGACTCGTCAAACGTGACGTCCTGGGAGGACAGAACACGGCGAGAGGTGGGGTGGTAGAACTGCCACCCTGGCGCGTCAGGGGGGAAGCCAAGGTAGACGCAGGGAGCAGCACGAGGGGACAGCTTGTCCGCAGACAAGTCGCGGACAAACGCCCGAGATCCCCAGACACGGAACGCAGACGCATCGCCAACCTTCCCCGTCCACAGCAAAGCTGGAGAGGTCTCCGGCATGGAGACCCTGGGCTGAAGGTTGATCTGATGCGCCGCGTACCGAACCGCAAACGGCCACAGAAAATGGGGGGCAGCCGCATGCATCATGGACGTACGGGCGACGTCCATGACCATGCCAATGCGGCGCTCAGCAATCCCATTTTGCTGTGGAGAGTCCGGAAGCGTGAAGGTCTGGCGGATGCCTCGTGCACGACAGTAGGCTCGCAGAAGGCCAGAGGAGAACTCTCCGCCTCTGTCAGAGTGCAGACGCAGAACAGGAAAGTCCGAGCCGAAACTCTCTCTGAGCTGGAGACGAGCTGCCCGGATCCAGTCGATCAACACCTCAGTGACATCACCCTTGCTGCGCAAGGGGAAGACTGTGGTGTAACGCGAGTAGTCGTCAACCACCAGCAGGAAGTAGCGCTCGTGACCCTGTCCACGGACGCGGGCCGGGCCCCACACGTCCATGTGAAGCGTCTGCAGCGGGGCCTCTGTCGGAGGAAACTGGGAGGAGTGAGGGGCAGCACGCTGCCGCCCCTCGACACAGGGGATGCAGGTAGGGGCAGGCCCCGGAGGAAGGGGAGGGAGGGACCGGGGAAGACCAGAGACAAGGACACGGGAGGCCATGCCTCGGAGACGAGGCAGGGAGGGGTGACCAAGGCGGTGGTGCCAGAGGAGAGTCTCGTGAGACAGGAGGCGACACGAGCAGGGGGCAGACTCAGGACCAGACCTGGACGCTGCAGCAAACACCTGACCCGACGCAGCTGCCTGACCAGACGCAGTGACTGGAGGAGACTCAGTGGTCAGTGTGTACAGGCTCGACCCCGGCCGACGTGTAAACGTGGCCAAGCGTCGGCCCGTCCGAGCGTCCGTGCAGTGGGTCACACGCTGGCTCGCAGGAGTGAACTGGTGAACCCCCGTATCCTGTAGGTCAGCACCACTCACCAAGTTCGTAGAGAACGAGGGGAGGTAAAGACCAGACAGGGTGCCAGAGGGGGCCGCCGGAGACGGGAGGACAGTGGAGAAGTGAGCAAGGACAGGACCCCCAGAGGGGTCTGCCAGAGAGACTGCAACTGGCCGACCAAGCGGCGTGAGTGTGGTGCGGTCTCGAAAGAAGGAGCGAGAAGCCCCCGAGTCAAGAGTGAAGGTGTGGGAGGCCGGAGCCGACGCAGTACCTGAGAGAGCAGACTCACCAGCACCTGAGGAAGCAGACGCACTGGCACCTAGAGCAGCAGCCTCGCTAGCACCTAGAGCAGCAGCCTCACCAGTACCTAGAGCAGCAGTCCCAATGCCCGGGTCGGGCGGAAAACACCAGTAACAGTCACCCTCATCACTAATAGTCACAGCATACATGGCAGCAAGAATAGCATCAAAGTCAAGGTTACAGATAGCTACTCCCGCCCTAAACAGCTCGCCCCAGCGAGGGATCTCAGTGGCCTCAGGGAACTGGTGACGCCAAACGTCCGTCAGGCGGCCAAAGCAGCGCTGGGTGGAGTGCGCACCCCCGCACGGCTCACCCGCGCGGTCGCCGGTGCGTAGGACGTAGGTGCACGGACCAGTACCCCCACCCCGCTGGCGTGCAGCGTACCACTCACGAAGCTGCTGAGGGGGGGGGATCTCACGAGTGCGCTGCTGCTGCTGCTGCTGGCGCTGACCACCACCGGAGCCGACCCTCTGCGCAGCGCCACCCCGACCAGCTCCACCTCCTCCGCCGCCGCCTCCTCCACCGCCGCCACCTCCGCCACCTCCGCTCCCACCGCCACCGCCGCCGCCGCCTCCGCCTCCACTGCCGCCACCGACGCCCCCACCCCCGCCACCACCCCCACCGCCACCCCCACCCCCTCCGCCGCCTCCACCGCCGCCTCCACCGCCCCCGCTAGCTCCTCCAGCGCCCCTGCCCCCCTTGCCCTTGCCAGTGCGGCGTCTCCCGCTAGGGGCAGACGCCGCACCGACCAACTCAAGACCAACGAGGTCGGCCGCAGCAGCAGAGGCAACAGAGGGCAAGAGAGGAGAGGGGGAGCACCCCTCAAAGACAGGGGCACGAGGGTCACCACGAGAGGCTCCTACAGCGACTATGCTCTTCTCTGCTGCTAAGAGGCGCTCCTCGAGGAGGTCAACGGTGAGGGTGGTGGGGCAAACAGAGAGAAAGTGGTCCCTGACCGGGCGAAGGGTGTCAGGGAGCCGGGTGACTACGTAGTAGAGGGTGATGTACATAGGGGGGGGGTTCTTGGCGCAGAACTCAGGAGGAAGGGCAGCGCGGTAGTGAGTGTCACTAGTGCGCAAGTGCGTAATGAGGTCAGCGACTGTGGGAAAAGCGGCGAGGTCAGGGAAGAGGTACGGCAGGATGAGGCGGCTAAGTGCAGCAGTGGCAGGGGAAGAGTAGCGTGCAACTACAGCGTCGTACAAGGTCTTAGCACTCTTGTACTGACTAAAGTGTGCACGCTCAGCGGTAGGCAAGTGGCGGCGCACAGCAAGACGGGCAGCAGCGTCGCGTGTGGCCCACTGTGAGCGAACAGTGGCGTCAGCATCAGGAGCAGGGGCAGAAGAGGCACCAGAAGTGAGGTCAAAGAGAGAGAGACCGTCTACCCTGTCGCACTGTAGGAAAAGCTGCAGGTCATCTACCCAGACGTCAAAGTCAATGGCCCGACCCTCAGCGTCAAAAGCGAGGACACTGGGGGTAGCCATGACAGCAGTAGACTAGCAGCTGGAGCAGTAGGGTAAGGGCAGCGCAGTGGTAGAGGTGCCGCTCTTACCGGACAGGGCGGCTCGGGCGGCTCGGCAGCTCGGCGGCTCGGCAGCAACTGCAGCTCGGCGGCTCGGCGACTCGGCGGCTCGGGCGGCTCGGGCGGCTCGGCGGCACGGCGGCTCGGCAGCAACTGGAGCTCGGCGGCTTGGGCGGCTCAGGTGGCTCGGCGGCTCGGGCGGCTCGGGTGGCTCGGGCGGCTCGGCAGCAGCGGCGGCTCGGTAGATCGGCGGCTCAGCGGCGCCGGCGGCTCGGTGGTGACGGCGGGGCCGCGTGGGGACGGCGGCGGGGCCGGGTGGGGCGGCGACGAGGCCGCTGAGGGCGGCGGCGGGGCCACGAAGGGTGGCGACCGGCGCCTTAAGGGTGGGGCCGCGGGGTCGCAAGGGTGGGGCGACGGGGCCAGCAGAGGCGGCGCCGGGGCCGGGAAGGGCGGCGCCGGGGCCGGGAAGGGCGGCGCCGGGGCCGGGAAGGGTGGCGCCGGGGCCGCAATGGTAGGCGACGGGGCCGCGAGGGCGGCGTGGAGGGGTCGCGAGGGCGGCTCGAGGAGGCCGCGAGGGCGGCGCGAAAGGGCCGCGAGGGCGGCGCGAAAGGGCCGCGAGGGCGGCGCGACGCGACGGGACCGCGAGGGCGGCGCGACGGGGTCGCAAGGGCGACGCGACGGGGCCGCTAGGGAGGCGCGACGCGACGGGGCCGCTGAGGCGGCGCGACGGGGTCGTAAGGGCGGCGCGACGGGGCCGTGAGAGGGGAGCGCGACTCGGGCAGAGGCTGAGCGTGCTCCGGGCAGGAAAAAATAGTTGGTGGGCCCTAGGAACAGTTCGCACAGGGGAACCTGCTCTATACCATGTGAGAATGAACGAGGAATGAAAAGACTAAGGGAAAGTTGGGTACAAGTACAAACCCTAGAAAGCTGTACCCCATATGTGCTACCCCACTATAGCCTACAGCAGCTAAGTCATATAAATCTGACATATTTGTACGAGTATGCATGTGCGAATATATTTGCGTGTGAATGGTGTGTTCTTGTGTTTGTTTGCTTTCGCAATTTTGGTTTGAATCATTTGCAGGTACTCGCGCATTGTGCGCTTCGGCAGAACAATGTATGCGCTATGAACAGTGCAAGCAGAAGGGACGAGCTCGCAAAGGAACCCAAGATAGAAGCTTTGCAGTTCGATTAATATGAATGCACAGCTTCAGTTTTATCCAACTCGAAAGTATACTGTTTTGTTTGGCTAACTATAGTGTAGCAAGGCCGGCACTATAGGGGTACAATTTAGGTGAAGGTTGGATGTTTGTTTGTCTGTATCTGCATGCTAAAGGGCCAGGGGAAACCAGCGGAACCAGCATTTGGCTGGTTGGGCAAGACATAACAGGCTCTGTTTTCAGGACCTGAACCTGGTTGTTGTTTTCCCAGGTTGAAAAAAACAGATCCAGAGGTTGTTTACCAACCTACCACTTGCTGTTTTGTCCAGCCAGGTTGGTTCTGTTGCTTGGAATTATTTGGGATCATCCCTGGTTGTTCCCAGGTTGATTCCCAAGGGCCTTGCTGACTAGAACTATTTACTCCTTCTCTGTTTGTACCTGGATATAGTCAATATGAATCAAGCGAACTCCTCCATTGCTGGAATTTCGTTTCTACGCGGTTCGACGGCAGAATGCTAAGAAATTAAGGTAAATATAAGGGTAGAGTTAACTAAAAAATAAGCTCCGAGTATTCGACCAACCGACCATCTGCAGTTTTCGAGATTTGGAGCTTCTGCGCAGGTTAGGTGAAGGGTTGCCTGTACACGAGGTGTGCTAGGGAACCCATGCAAGAGTAACTGAAACACCCGCGAGTGCAACGCAAACGTCCCGTGCGCATGTGCAAGTGGCGCAGGTGATGCAGAGGTTCGCGGGTGTTCATCTGCGCAAGGTCGCGTCTGACCCTGAGTACTCTCACGAATGCACTGGCGAATTTTGGCCAGAAATTCGAATATGCCTTAAGTTCGACCAATGAGGAGCCGGAATTTCAGAATGTTGACCGAGGTGGTCGACGAAGGTCGTCGACCCGCGACGACGAAGGTCGTCGACCCGCTACGACGAAGTTCGTTGACCCACGACTATGAAGGTCGTCGACCCACGACGACGAAGGTCGTCGACCGCCGATGACGAAGGTCATCGGCCAGCAGGGTTG